GGACAGCAGGTATGAAAGGATGGAGGGAAAAGAAAAAACAGGACAGGGAGAAAAAGGAAGGGGAGAGAGGGAGGATGGGAGGCAGGAAGTTTGGTTAAAATATACTGTCAGTGGCACTGGATAAAAATAATAGTCTTTTCTGTGACTGAAAGCATTTCTAAAAATCAAAGATAGGAACAGCTGCTGTGCTATGGTGGTGGGATTATGACTACTTTTGTAAATGTCTTTTAATGTTCTCATATAGGTTTAGAGCAGGTAAAATTTTGGAGCAGAAAGATATAAAAACATTCATGGATAGAAAATTCAGAAGTCACCAAGGGGAACTTGGTTTGTGATCATTTTATAAAACAGTGTTACATACGTTCCTACTCAGACCTAACCCAGACCCTGAGAACCACAACCAAGGCCCATTGGGCCAGGCTTCTGGATTTCACAGAGCTTAATGGGGCTTCTGGTGGCAGGGGCTAGTCACCCACAAAGAAAGGCCACGGCATACAGAGGCGGGAGGCCTGCACCCAGACCAGGAGCATGCTCTGTGCACAAAAGAGGTGACCTCAGGAAAATCCCTTACCTGGCTGACTCGGGTCCTCTTCCTTAAAGTAAGAGGTTGCCTGTGATCAGAAGTGACAAACTCAAGTGCTTTAAGGAGTTAGGCCGGGAACACAGAACTGAATGGGCCATCGGGGACTATGTGGCCTGGAAATCACACACCCGGAGGCAAAGGGTGCAGCTGCTACTCAGACCCTAGTAAGTGCTGGGCCCCACACTGCCTGCCAGTGTAGAGAGGTTGGGAATCTATACTTTTTTAAATGTTTGGTTTAATTATTATTTTTATTTTTTTATTTTTAGAGATGGGATCCCACTCTGTTGTCTAGGGTGCAGTGGTGCAATCATGGCTCACTGCAGCTTCAAACTCCTGAACTCAAGTGATCCTCCCACCTCAGCCTCTCATGATGCTAAGACTAGAAGCATGGGCCACCACACCAGGAGAAATCTAGACTTTCATGTGGGCTGTAATTTTTCTGTTGGCATCTAGTTTCTAAAATGTGTAGAGCCAACCACAGTGTCTGAACCTATAATTCCAACACTTTGGGAGGCCAAGGCGGGAGGATCACCTAAACATAGGAGTTCAAGACCACTCTGGGCAACATAGCAAGACCCCATCTCTACAAAAAACAAAAAAATTAGCTGGGTATGGTGGCGCATGCCTGTATTCCTAGCTATTTCGGAGGCTGAGGCAGGAGGATACCTTGAGCTCAGGAGTTTAAGGCTGCAATGAGCTATGATCACACCATACTGTGCTCCAGCCTGGACAGCATAGTGAGATCTTATCTCTAAAATATTAATTAATTAAATTTTTAAAAATATTTTAAAATTCAAACACCCTAAAGGCAACACCAAATGTGGATGTGTTCTCTGGGTTAGATGTTCCAGAAATTTCCTAAGCATGCTACATCAAGCCAGCTGCTGTCTGCCCTGCTTTATTATTGCATGCAGTAGGTATTGCTGACCCTTTGGCTCCCCCAAGACACCACTTTGGTCAGAAGAGAGTGGCAAGAAAGTGGCAAGAAGTAGAGCAAGCACAGCTTCCCGGTGGAACTTACCAGATCTGTTCTTAGATTAGGAAGGAGACCAGGTAGGGCCCCATCTGAGATTTCTTGGGCCCAGGGAAAGGTGACAAAGTGCTCTGCAGAAGCACTGGACTCAGTGCCTCCTGACTCAGACTTTCAGACTGGGCATCTGAGACTCTTGCAGTCCTGGAATCCACTGTGGATCCCAGCACAAAGCTTCTCTAACTTTGACATTCCCAAGAGTTCTGCATTCTAACAACCCGCCAGGTGATGGGGCTGCTGCTGGGCCACGGACAACACTTGGAGGAGCAAGGCAGCACACCTACAACACACCCTCCCCTTCCCCTTTTCTCTGTCTACCTGTGGCCCACAAACAAGTCTCCTTTATCCCCTGAAACCCCTCCCTCTCATGCTCTCACCCCAGTTCTTGCCTATTTCTAACAAAACTTCTGAAAGTGCAGCCTATGCCTGCTGCCTCGCGTCTCCACCCAACCTCCTCTCTGTTTAAACCCCATCATCGGGCTTCTACTCTGCACTCCACCATGCTCCTAGAATTATTCCTTCAGGCTGGTAATAACCTTCTAATCACCTAATGCAATGGCCTCTCCTAAGATCCTTTCCAAACAAAGCACTCTATTTTATAATAATCATAATAATGGCTAATACCTACCAGTTGGATATTAAATGCACCAGACACAGTCCCAAGTCTTTGCCTCAGAAGTACTTCAAATGTATTATCTTACAAATGTATTATTATCTTGAAAGGCAACCTAGAAAGCACTTTAGAGGCGGAGCTCAGATGTTGTCATTTCTGAATTAGAAATAATTTGGCCTCTTCCGAAATCCACTCATGCCATTCGCTTTGTGACTGGGGAGTGTTGGGGGGAGGGGTGCAGGCAGGAAGGAAGGAGAGTGTTGATCCCAGAACATCTGCACACATCATCACAACACACATCCCAACCAGCTCTGATTTCTCCCCTGGCACAAAGCAGGAAGAGACAGGTATTTGGGAAAAGCTCACCACCCCAAAATATCTACCTAAACCCTGAAGGCTAAGTCAGCCCCTGGGCTTTCTGAAAGTAGCCAAGGGGCAGTCCTTGGGAAAGGACAGCATTGCTTATCTTCAGAGCACTTCCACCTGCTCCAGTGGGGTTTTATTGATACCCTGTGGCCCAGATGCCTCCTGTGCCTTTTAGCTGCATTCATGGGATGGAAGGGTTGTCAGGGAGATTTCCCACATGGGGCCTCTTCATACACCTCAAGGTGATACCATGGCCACAGAATGCCATGTGAATGGTTCCCGTGGAGTCCCGCAGAGTGGTGGCAACCTTCAAGTCCATCTGATTCATACAAAAGTTGTTTGACCGTAAATAGCAGCTTTCTCCGGTGTCCCATGCACAGTAAAGACCCTGCAATGGGCTGCCTATGAAAGGCTTTGGGGCCAGGGCCAGGGCGGGAGTGCTGGACTCCCAATCCCGACACCATAGCTTCTCCACCACTTCTTGTTGTGTGACCTAGAGAAACCCTCCTATCCTCTCTGGGTCAGAGCTTTACAAATGACGCCACACCAAAGGGAAAACACAAGCAAATTCTGGCCGTCTCCTGTGTTCAAGGCAGTGGACCAGGTGCTGGGTGGAGTCTAAAGAGACATACTAAGGAGTTCAGCAGATACCTCAGAGCCCTGGCCTAAGCCCTTTGCACGTTTTTAATTCTGACATCAACTCTACAAAGTGGGCATGACTTTTATGCACATTGTATAGGTGAGAAAACTCAGGCAGAGAGAAGTTAAAACTTTCCTAAGGTCACAGGGTTAAGTAAGAGGCGGAGCAAGGGCGAAATGTGAGCAACAGCTTCGGAAGCCTGCACAAGTGACCACCACAAAACACTGCTTGCTAGAGAAGCCCAAGACCCCTTCTCTGCCCTCCAGGAAGACTCGAACCAGGGGAAGGAGCAAGACAAATGTGAAGATTTAAATGCTGATAAAATATTTAAACAACTATTTGAGATAATAGTGGGAAAGACGCTGCCAGGGAGAACATATATGCCAAATGAAAGTGTTCAGACAGAATCTCTAAAGGTCCGGGAAAGGGGGACGGGGAATCTCTACCGTGAGCTCATTCTGAGTTGGAAGAAGCCTGGGAGGTTAAATGTTACTGTCTTTTGCAGGTTGAGCAGGATTTGATCAGGAAAGAGTCGGAGAGAAAGCATTTCAGCAAGAATCAAAATGCAAAGGGGTAGCTCTCATGTTGGAAAGGGGGTGAGGAAGGGGACCCAGGCATCTGGGATCACCTTCCCTTTGACATCCACACTGCCTTTCAATAAAAGAAAAAGCGGGCCGACTGGCACCTCCTGAATCACCTTCCTGTAAATAGCATGCTTGGTATCGGGGAAATTCTCCGGAAGACACAGTTTTTACTTAAACAAGATCAAACCCCTCACCCCACTCCTCCATCCGGAGACCAGAACCTTTCATACGTAGTTCCTAAAGCTGTAAACCCAAAACCCTTTCATATGTGATTTCTCAAACTGTAAACCCAAGACTTCAGCTGTAAATCCAAAACACTTTCACCCGTAATTTCTTAGCTGCAAACCTAAGATTCTTTCATGTGTAATATCTAGAGTGTAAGCCTATATAAAGGCAGAGCCTCTCTTTGTTAGATGAGCTGGGTCATTTAAACAAATCATCGCCCGGCTCCCTGCCATAATAAGCCTTTTCCTTCCCAGCTCGGTGTTCGAAAGATCTGTTTCTCATGGCCACTCCTGCCACAGTGAAGGACCCTGAATGACAGAAGATGGCTGAGGGGAGCAGGAAGGGGGAGCTGAAGCCAGGTCTGAATTTTGCCCTATAAGTAAAAGGGAGTCACAGAGGAATTTCGGTAGAATAGAGGAGCAACATGACCAACATGCCTGCTGATGACACACTGGATACACTAGGGGTGCAAGAGAGAAAATTAATAAGTTCCCCAAAGTGTTGGCCACGGAGTCCTTGGGTCTTGACAAAGAAAAGCAAGAAGTGAAGGTCCTGATACTCCTCAGAGACTGACCAGAGAAGGGGGGTCCTCCAGCTGGAAGTCTTCAGTTGGGTTTCTTCCTAAGAACTGTTTAGAATTTGGCACTCTGTGTCAGAGAAGCAAGCAAATATGAGCCAAAGTCCCCCCACCCCCTCGCAGGGTTATATCCAGAGAACAGAAGTTTTTAATGCTATTTTTAATCTTTCTGTTGACCAAAAACACACTGAGAAGAAATGAAGCGTCAACATCAACAAGAGGCTCTACACACTCCCCTTTCTTCCCTCCTATTAACCACTCTGCGACCCTGCAGACTCAACATATGGTCCACCAGCTAGGCGGCCCCTTCTGATCCTGGATGGGTTGATCTGCTTAATTATTTGGCAGCTATAAATAGAAGCATTGGACAATAGCCTGAGTGGTTTCTTTTTTTTTTTTTTTTTTTCTTTTTTTGGTCTTGCAGACAAAGACAGGGTCCCTAGTTGGCAGGACTGGAGAGTAGGATTTCACTCCCTCCCTCCAGGCCTTGTCTTCTACCTGAGCCATCACAGCCTCAGGATGGCTTCAGAACTGTCCTGGATCTGCTAGGGACAGCCCCAGCCCAACTGAGCCAGCAAGGAGATGTGCTGGGGTCACTCACAGGTCTTAGAGTGAGGGCGGGTTTCAGGAAAGAGATCACCCAGGAGACTCTAAAGGTTCACTTGCTTTAGGCATGTCCTTGCCTACGGGGCCAAGACCTCACTCTAGTCACCCATAGCTTTTCCTACCTTACCGCTCACTGCACCCATGTTGAGCCTTCACTCTCACCCCCACCCCGCTCTCAGGCAAGAGCAGCCACCCTGAGGAATGGATGCCTCAGGATCCAGAGCCAGGAGGTGAGCAGAGTGAATGTTCCCGGTGCCTGCAGGAAGAAGCCTGGCACCCAGGGTTCCCGTCACCACCTGGACCCCGCCACCTCTCCATCCAGGATGGGCTTTCTGTACTCCACCTATAAGCCCTCTCCTGCCCCAGCTCCTAAGCTGTTCTCCCTACCCCTAATCCTAGCAGGGACCTGGCATGGAAGTCAGATGAGCCTGGGTTGGCCTCTTGAGTCTGCTTCTTTACTAGTTGTAAGATCATGAGCAAGAGGTTTCATTGCTCAGTGCCTCATCCCCGCCCCCCGCCCCCGTACAATGGGCACAATAATGACACTGACCTCCAGAGACTACTTATGAAGACCTATCAAGATAGAGCAGGTAAAGGTTGTCATCTAGAGCCTGGCATACAGCAAGTGCTTGCTAAGGAGTTACAGGCAGCTTTTTTCCGAGTCCAACTCCCATCGCCTATATGCATAGACTCGGCACACATTTGCTAAGTCGCTGGTTTCTCCATGCTCCCCTCCTCCTCCTTCACATTCAAGAGAAACAGCCAGGCCACCACAGGAGTCAGCCTGTTTGACTTTGGTACCTGGGGCTCCTGACCCACTCAGTGTGAATCCGAACGCATTTCCCTGAGTGTCTGATACCTGCTATTTAATCTCCGTCACCTTCCCTCCTCCTACCTGGCTCAGGGTCCCTCACTCCGCACAGGTAGCCAAGGTGGAGGGGAGAGCCCTCCTTCCTAATGCTTGTTTGTTTTTCCGCTCATGTGTTTTCTCAGAGACAGGATAAAATGGTGACACCCGGGATCGGGGTGGCTGGGTACACACACATAGACAGGGAAACCAGGGGAAAGAAAAAGCCCCTGGGGGCCACCATTCTCCCACGAGGGGCCAGACTGGCTCCCAAAAGAGGAAGAAAGGCTGTCCCTCCCAGAGGCCCATATATGTTTTCCCAAAGCAAAGTCTCTGTGGTCCCAGCAGGCTTCCAAGATACTCCTGCAGGCCAGGGACTGGTTTCTGTTTGTCTTGAAGCCCTGCATTCATGGTCTACCATAGCCACCAACCTCCTTCAGATCAATCACTATGCCCCCATCATGGGCATCTGCAGAGCTATTCGTGGGTTGTAGTCATGACTTGGAAAATTCTTCTGAGGGGAATATAGCTAGGCTAGGCTTCACAGAGAACATGAGGGCAGGATGACATGCTGCCAGTCAGAGAGGATGGTGGTTCAGAGACCCCAGCACATGAGGAATCAGCCCTGCCTGGCACTGCATTGGCTCTCAAGTAGAACACAGAGGGAGTGGGCTTTGGAATCAGAGGCCAGGGATCAATTCCTAGCTGTGCCACTGCCTAGCTAGGTCAACTCTGCTGCTTCCTCTAACCTTTCTCAGCCTCAATTTCCTCATGTGAGAAATAAAAATAAAAATATCTTTGCAGAAATAAGACCTAGTGTTTGACAGATCAGTAGGGTGACAATATTTAAGAAAATTATTGTGTATCTTGAAGCAGCTAAAAGCGTAATTCAAATGTTTCTAGCATAAAGGCAAACATTTAATGTGATAGATATCTTAATAACACTCATTTGACCTTTACAAATTATATTAATATATTAAATATCACATGTACATGTGTGTATTTATTATCAATAAAAAATAAAATTAAAATTATAAAAGAGAGACTTCCTGCATATGAAATAGAGATTACAAATCCTTTCTAAGCACACACGGGATACTGACCTGTGTGCTAAGTCATTAAAGAAAGAAATCCTTGTGCAAAGGACCGTTTTGAGACTATGAGGCTTTAATGTAGAAAGGTGACAAGCACATAGCAGGACCTTACTTAACAGGGCTGGGGCTTGCCAGCATACAAACTTACTTCACTTACTTGTTCAGACTCCTTCTGTGCTGGGAAAAGAGAGTCCTGAGACTTACCCAGTTTTTCACCACAGTAAATTCTCCAAGGATGAAGAAAGGGGGAGGAGAAAAAAGCACTTTTCTCTCTCTTCTTCAAAAGCCAGAGCAGCCAGATGAAGCATGGTGTAGGTGGCCAAGCAGCGAGATCCTTAAATAGCAACTAATGACTTTGACTGAAATTAATAATGAAACGACACCTGTTAGCTCACTTGGAGCCACTTTAATTTGCCACATGGCAATTATATTCACTATCCTATCAGCTGGCCCATGAGCTGTAAAATGCTATAATGCCCTGCCATCTGCCTCTCTTGTCTCCCACGATGACAGACCGAGGCTGTCCTCAGGGTGGTTATCAATTCCAGGGCTCCCAACTACTCTGGAGGTTTCCTGGGAGCTTCCCAGGCATTCAAAAAGACTTGGGAACCACCGGTCCCAGTGAGCCCTGCTGAGTCCCGGGGAGCAGCTGGGCAGCCTCTCTGAAGGTGAATGTTCCCCACCGAGCAAGGGGAAAAACATGCCCAAAGGTTATTGACTCCCTTCTGTGGTTGGGTCCTTAAAAAGCCTTGCTGGATGACACAGGGAATTCCCCACTTGAGCAATGAACTACAGTGTCACCATCCACATTATCTCCCCAGACAGAGGGAGGACATAAGGAACTAAACAGGCCCCCAGCAGGCCATGAGATTTGGTTTCTATAGCAACTCAACTGAGGTTGGATAAGTACCAATGAGATACCCAAGCGTCACCCCAGACAGAGCCAGAATTCCGGAATCCCAATGGCAAGGACCACCCAGCAGCGTTTAGAGATGCAAAGCAAGCTTTGGTCATGTTCAGAAAGACTCAGGGAAGCCACAGGAAAAAAAATGGGTCTAGGATCCCCACTTTCTATAAGGCAAGCTCCAAGACTATCTGGCTGCCCAGAGCTGGTGTGTAGAGCTGAGATGGGTCCATGCATTAGCACGCTAGGGATGTTAACAGAAAATAATCCACCATCCACCTCTGCAACTTCCATATCCTCTTCTCTCTCTCTCTTTCTCCCTCTCTCCCTCACACACACACACACACACACACACACACATACACGTACACAGACACATGCACACACGTGCATATACATGAAGAAACCAAAAAAGATCTTGCAATTATTCAAAAGAAACTCTAATTGATTTGTTGATCAGAAAAATATCAATGAATGACCAATTGCAACAAGGTTCTTTAATGAAAGTTCCTAATTAGCTCTACCTTTGAAGACTTCTATTACGCTGCCTGTAGAGTAATTGCTATGTTAGCTATGCGATGTTTCCTAATAAGACCGAGCATTGGTAGAGAGGGAGGAAGGGAGGGACCTGAAACCCAAACCCAGCCCCAGGTACAAACTAGCACAACTAGCAGCCAGCGTACTGGCTTCTCAAATGCTGATATTAACTCAGGAAACTCAATCACACCAGGGACCTGCTTACTGTCCACAGATGTCATCGCAGTCATTGGTCAAGCCTGAGAGAGGCTAGCACAAACAGGCAATGGGCCATTCTATCTCTCCTCCTTCGTCAAATCCCAAAATACCACAACAACACCCAAGCCGGGGCCTCTGAGGACACATGAGAGGACATCCAACTTCATGCAACAGGGACTCAAGTTATGGCCCTTTTGCCCAAAAGGCAGCATGGGCTGGAGAGAGAAATAAACACAAGAGGCTAGAGACACGGACAGGGTGGGTGGGAAAGCTTAGAAGGCACGGAGCAGGTAAGGCTGGCATTGGGAGGGAGCTGGCTGGACACGGGAAACCTGCCTCCATGAGACAAAGCCTCTGTTTCTGTGTCCCGATCTTACAGCTCCTGATTCCCCCAGGCCTAGCTAAGGAGACCGTTGGACCACCAGTGAAGTTGAACAAAATCACTACCTATGAAGTCCCTTCAGCTCTGGAGCTGTCCAAGGAAACAGATACATCTTCGAGGCCAAATACCAGCCTTTCACCATCTGAGGGGCTATTAGATGCCCAGCAAATAGGGGTTTCCTGGCTGGTGGCTTCCGGCCCAGATGCCAGTCCAAGAGCTAGAGTGGCCTCTCCAAGCTTGGGAGTTAGGAAAGCTCTACCCAGATCCTTGGCACTCACCTCAAAAGAGCCCATGAAGAGAAAAGAATGAGAGGGCCCAGGGAGATTCTCAAGGCCCCGGTCAGCTACCCTAGAAGTCACCTCGATCTTAGTCAAGGATGAGCTGAGCCTTGAAAATCCAGACTCTATGTGAGAAGAAACAGATAATCTCAGTTGTCCAAGGCAATAACCTAGAGAACAACCAACAAAAGCCAACGGGGGTCACTTGGGAAGACACACCCCCATGTTGGCCTGACTTCCTTAGAGTGGGCAGGAGAAACAGGCTTCAGTGGATAGCTAGAAAGCAACAACAGAGAAAGTCATACCAGAGGTGGCCCTTGGCCATTTCTCAAGGTGACAGCCTCCCTGCCCAGGCATCCACACTGCAATGGTTTTCATATTGGCTCTTCTTCACAACATCCTCTGTTTCTGCCTCCATACCATTGCTCACAGTGTTTTGCTTAGCTGGCAAGCTCTTCCTGCTCCTTTCTGCCTTCCAAAGCCCGACTTGCCCGTCAGGGTCAGGCCCAACTCAAGCTCCTCATCAAGTTATGCATGCCATGGAGATGTGCTGCCCCCAACCGTGTTTCAAAGAAGGACTTGAGGCTCAGCTTCAGGGAGTCGGCTTAGCAAACAGCCCCAGGTGTCAGTTCCTTCAGGGTCAGCCTCAGCCAAGGTCAGCCTTCCTAGGAGAGCCTGCATCTGGGGACGGAGTGAGGTAGGGTACAGAAGCACAGCAATTTGGACCCAAAGAGATCACCTCTGTTGGATAAATCCACTCCAGAGCTGTCTCTGGGTTGGCTGAGGTTTTGTGGAAGCTGCATCAGCCCTCGACTTGTCCCTCTTGCCACTCCCGCCTCTACCTCTCCCTTCTCAGTATGGATTCCTCATAAACGTAGTGAGTTCAAACTGGTTTCTATCAGTGCCCATCCCCCTCCACAAATTCAATCAATGGTCATTGTTATTATAGCCCATGTTTCTGCCACAAAAGGTGCTCAATAAACTTTTGATAAACACATGGGATAATTTAACATCTCTACTTGCTGACTGAGCTCTTACAGAGCCTGCTGCTCATTCAGGCATACTCATAGCAGCTGCTGATCAGGTAGACAAATGACACGAGGCCAATGATATAAGTATGCCATCACAAGAGCATGGCTTCCTCTGGCTCCCTGGGAATCACACAGCATGCTGGCTCCTGAAGACCACACAGGGAGATGCCTCGCCTGAGAGGCTTTTGATCCTGGGATCAAGACCAGTGGCTCATTGGTACCTCTGCATCCATCCTAAGTGATGGCTCACTTAGGAAGTGATGGAAGGTCAGCTTTAGTGACACCTTCTCATCAGCAGCGCTGTCACTAGGCGCCAACAGCCTTGCTCATCACGGCACTTTAATCAGGATGGCATGACACCACCGTAAATCTTAAAAAGGTTATAATTAGAGATGCAGTTAAAACCGAGGGTTTAGTGTTACTAAAGATATTTGCAGAATTTAGTGCAATATAAATAGCAGGGTTTATGGTGTCATGCCTAAAATTTTGAGCAGGCAGATGTTCCAAGGGGACATTCAGAGAATGTCCATCCAAGCTGGGATTTCTCTCACCTGATTCTTCTCTCCCGAATGTCAGAGTTCTCAGAAATAGATATCCAGAGTGTGCCCATCCTCATAAAAGGCTGAAAAGATCTTGCTAGTCAAAGAATAGGACAGCCTTGCACTAGGACACCTGCTGAAGCTCAGTGGGGAAGCGGCAGCCCCTCAAGCTGCTGGAAACACTGTCTCCTGCATGGAGAGCTCACAGCTTCATGACTCCATTGGCTCCGATTTTAAAGCAATCTTGCAGAAAAGGGCCAGCATTTATCAGAAAGAGGAAATTATTTTCTAGTATGATATCAACTGGAGTCTGCCGAGTACACATGACACAGAGAACAGGCAATCAACCCACCAACAAGGATAATTGTCACAGTGCCTACCACCAGCCAGGCCTCTGCACACATTCACTATATCCTCACAAAAATCCTACAAGGCCATTGTTGGCATAGTCACTTTACATAGGAGAAAATCAAGGCTTGTTGAGTACACAGCTAATGCAACATACATAAAACTGATCAGCAGTGACATCTAAATTTGAATTCAGGTCTGTTCAATTCCAGGGTTCTTTCAGATGTGAAAAGGAGGTAGGGGAAGGGCCCCTTTTCTTTTCCCTCTGTGTATGTCTGTATTGTTTGAAATTTGTATCAAGAGCATGTTTTCGTCTCTACTAAAAATACAAAAATTAGCTGGGTGTGCTGGTGCGTGCCTGTAGTCCCAGCTACTCGGGAGGCTGAGGCAGGAGAATTGCTTGAACCTGGGAGGCAGAGGTTGCAGTGAGCCGAGATCGCACCACTGCACTCCAGCCTGGTGCCTGGCAATGAAGCAAGACTCTGTCTCAAAAAAAAAAAAAAAAAAAAAAAAAAAAAA